CTGGTGCTTCACAGGGTTGCCGCACGCTGCTAAGTTCCGCTTGGGACAGTCTGCCTTCAACAAGGGTCAAAGGGTTCATGACCCAAACCATCAAATACGGGGATTCCGCAGATTGTCGAGGGTTCAGCCTCCTGATGAGTCGGTGCAATTCCGACGAAACAATCTTGTCATCATCAACTTTTATTTTTTTCAGTTTTTGCCTGGTTTTTACTTGTATTTTTTGGGTGTTGTTTTTGCCTTGTCGTCGTTTGTCTTGCTGTTGTTTCCCTCGCTGTCCTACGCTGTTCCCTTGCCCATTCGCGTACCCCGTGCCTTCCGCCCTGTGTGCTTTGTTGCTTTGTGCTGTTTGCCTGCCCACCCGCCTCCCCCATGCCCTCCAGCCCATTTGCTTTGCTGCCTTGTGCTGTTTGCTTTGTGGCTTGCTGTTTGTCTGCCCAGCCGCCTCCCCCTTGTCATCCGGCCTCCGCCCTTTGTTGATGCCGCATGCCGTTTTCCCTCGCTGCTTTTGTTCTGCCTTCCCCTAGTTGCTATGTATTGTTTGTTTCAGCTCAYGGCTTAGTGCCCTTGGGCTCCATTCCTTGTGTCTTCTTTGGGAAGTCAGTGAGGTCGTGCATCCCTGGTCGGATGGAATACTAGCATGGATCAGGGTGTGATTCATTCGATGCTATGATGTCCRTGCTATTGGCATTATGTTATGTTGTGTCTTATATGTGCCTTACATATGCGGCTCGCTGCATCGCAAGGTGCAGTGGACTCATCTCACCAAACACACACACACACACAGAGTCTGTCTGCTCTTCGTCCTTCCCTAATGATTCCCTTCAGCCAACATCAGGTGGGTGCCACTGCACATTGTTGTTCACTTTCCATCGTCCTCCCAAGCTCTGCACACCCCCTTCTTCCTCCTGTCCAGCTATGGATCCCACTGGGAGAGCCGCTTGACTGCACCTTCTCTCTCCCTCTTCGTCATCGCACTGTGACCAGTCTGCTTCTGCTGCGCTATTTTTAGTGCACTTAGCCAGCCAGCAATCCTCTGACACGTTGAATGCCTGCCTGCATGCATGCATGGCCCTCCAATACTCATGGCCGGTACCTTCACGTGGGCCAAGGCAAAAAACAGAAAAAACTCTTTTTTTTTCCCGAGTCTTGGCAGTGCGGGAAGTTTCTGCTACAGCTTCCACCAACCTCCATATGCTGTGGCAGTTACTTTTCTGCCCACCAGTTACTTTTTAAGTTTTTACCCCTTATTTTTTTGCGCGGCAGTTGCTTTTTAGCAACTTTTCTACCGCTCTGTCTCCTGCCAAATCTGCCTGACGGGATGTCCCCGAGGCTGCTCCCACCTTGCGAGCATCTGGTCTGATCGGCACATCAGGCACAGATGTATTGTCAGGTCCTGCGCTACCCTGACGTGAGAGCACATTTTGCCGTCTTCCATCCATCACCATCTTCTTGTCTCCTCTCCCGTTCCCACCTCCTCTGCTACCCCAGCGCGCACACTGCCTTTCATCTACCAGCTCGCACGCATCCCTCTCCCTCCCTCTCTGCACACAACCCCCTCCATGGACTCCCGAGCCTTCTGCACCACCGCCTAGTTCTTCCGAACTCTGGATGTTCTCCTTTCCTTCCGCATACAGTTCGCCTTGTTCAATCATGCTTTTCATATCGGATCGGCCCGGCCTTGAAACGCTGTTATCGGACAGATAGCTTGCTGCAACTGCAACCGTCCCAGCCAAGCTTGTACGTGACCACCAACCTCGTGCATGTTCACACCTCCCTTGAAAGACTGGCAGCGCACTTCCAGTCACGATCTCCACCGGCACAAAGTGGGCTGTTTCGATTTCCACGGCCATTTGTTTTCTAGTGCACTCGGCCAACCAGGATGGCCAGACAACAATAAATTGAAAGGTCAATGTTCGCGATCTGACGGGTGCCCATTCCCTTTCCTGTGGCTGCCCCACGACAACATGTGTCACCACGTCGTCCAAAACCACGTGGAGCGTTCCACCTCCATCTCTGACCATGTTCTCCCATTCCATCATGTCTTCCTTATTGAACCCAAGAAGATAAAAATGGATATCTCTAAGATACATATCATCTATCATGCCCAGCCCATCGTAGTCACCATAGGTGTCGCCCGCTAGGAGCACAGCATCCTCCTTCCTTTTTTTTACCCCCTGCTCTCCCCTCCTGTCATCACCGTCTGCCCCCAATCGCTTCCTCCCTCTTTGCCTTCCTCCAGAGCTCCTCCCATGTTCCATCCCTTCCCTCCTTTTTTTTACCCCTTGCTCTCCCCACCTGTCATCACCGTCTGCCCCCAATCGCTTCCTCCCTCTTTGCCCTCCTCCAGAGCTCCTCCCATGTTCCATCCCTTCCCTAGACACTCCGCCAAGGCCCCCTTCCTCTCTTACCACACCGACGAGATTCTGAATCTGAACTGCACTTGGTGTCTCTCTGACAATCATTCCCAATGGGATAAGGCCCTCGCCACACCACTCTTGAAACCCGGTTTTCGAGAGTTGGAGCCATCGCCACACAGCCACTTGAGAGTTGTGGCCCAAAAACTCTTTCGAGAGTTGTCAGACCTCGTTTCGAGAGTCTACTCTCGGAACTCCTAAACGCCCAGCCTGCAATTCGTGCGTTTTCAAGCGTCCTCGGCCGAACCCTTGAGGGACTTTCGATTTTCGAGAGCTGTCAGGCCGTTATCCTGACTCCATTCGGAAAAGACAAAGCTGTACGACTGTCGTTTTTCATCCTTTGTCCAACACTATCGCCCTTTCGAGAGTGCTGTGTGGCAAAGGGGCCTCAACTCTTGAAAAAGTCTGACAACTCTCGAAACATTTTCGCGTTTCGAGAGTGGTGTGGCGAGGCCCTAAGCTACATGCGCTGCGACGAGTTCTTGCTCCTCTCTGCTCCAGCCAAGCGACTACCCACATGTCCAGGGCTGACTGGAAATTTATCCTCATCAAGGCAATCGCTGTGTGTCTTACATTTTTCCTTCACCGCTCTGCTGTGACGCCTGCTGAGAGCACGCCTGCTTGAGTGTGTGTTAACCATCACTAAGGACAAAATAATACTGTCTTTTCCCCTGGACACAACCCATCCCTATCATGAATGTCAAAATGACTGTAGACAACCTGTCTTTCCGTCCCGATACATTCATGATGAGCTGAGGGGTGTGTTAGCTTTACTCCTGTCGTGAGTGTATATAGACAAGCCCGGACTTTCCATTTCAAGAAACAGTAATGTTGAGAGGTGGGGTGTGACGCGGGGGGGGAACGCTATTCGAGTTGAGCGGCATGCTTGGTCAGTCGGAAGCCGTAAGGTCCAAATTACAAAGAGTATCGGATTTAATGCCCCAGAATCTGGACGCGTTTTGTGCAGAGATGCAGAAAAGCAGTTC